ACAAACATCATATATCCGTCTTTAGAAGGAAATAAAATAAGTTAGTAATTGCGATATTATGCCTTGATACCTTGTCTATATCGCGGTTTCTACTTGCGCGCTGCAGGAACAAGAAAGAAAAATCCTCCGCGTTGGTTAATCTAATAAATTTGTTCAGTCCATATTTCCGAACGAAACGCAGTACGAATATCTCTCCTATTTATCTTTAAACAGAAATAAAACAAAGTATAGTAGCCGTTCACTTCATCATTTTTAAATCTAATCGACCGATCGCGAAGCACAATGCACCGCTCTTAACAGAAATATAATTTAATAGAAATATAAATGTACCTAACTATTTATTCACGAGATTGATCGTAATGCTGATTGACATTAAGCTTCACTTATAATACCAGAGAGACTCTCATATTTAATTCCCCCTCGTTACTTCTCCAACGATCGTTTGTCTCCGAGACTCTCAAACGATCGCTATCTCGTCTCCGATTAACAGATTACCCAATTATTTATAAGTCTTCCTGATTGCTCGGCAATAAAGAGTCATAAAGATCGATAGGATCTTGCCTCGTGCCGAGAAGGTTGATCGTCCGCGTGGGAGGATCCGCACGCTTTCACGTCGCTCGCGAGAGATTCGCGCGCGCGCTTATGAAATGGTCCACTCATTGAGATCGGCCCGAGATGCTGCGGACAGGACAGCGGCGGCCACGGCGGCTAGGACGATACCGGAGAGGAGATAATTTATCGACGAAATCGGAGATCGCGCGCGCGCGCGCGCAAAGACGAGCGACGGACCGGCTAAAGCTGGCAGCTCTAAATGTCACGGGATTCACACAGGTGTTACGCGCTAAGGGATTATATCATACCGCGGCTTCTCCGCGGCTTCTTCGGATACGCCTCGCGCGCGGTTGCGCACGGTGAGAAAAGAAGTGAGCAACCGTATATGTATATACATCTGGACCATTACAACGTACACGTGTGCGCAGGGAGCGCGACACGGTCCGGCCCGCGGACGGCGGAATCCCGTCTTTCTCGCGGCAAGCGAGCGCGTCATTAAGCGAAAATTGCAATGAACGAAAGTCGGATTGATTATATTACCTACCGTGTAGCGCGGTCCGTAATGCGTAATGCGCCACGTGCTCCGCCGGCGTTGTTACGTCGCCGTGTCGCCCGTTGAGATGCAACGTGATGCACGCGCGTGTACGTCGCGATATCATCAGGAAATGATCGCGACGATGATTAACGACCGCGTTACTGATCGTAATGACGCGGAGTAACACGTCCCCGCGGTACGGATTTTTTTCCCCGCGCGAAAGAATCCGTGCTTAAATGCATGCGGCGAATTCCGCGTTTGTCGATAAAGCGACGATATCTCGCATCTCCGGGAAGATCGCGATCAAAAGGTCCTTCACCTCTTGAACCTCGAGATAAATTTGTCAAACAAATTTTCGATGGATGTAACAAAAAAAAGCAGCGGAAACCAAATTAAAAATAGTTTTCCGCTTTAGAAAATACGTAAATTATAGATTAAAATATAGTTAAGAATTAAGAATGAGGGTAGAAACGCATAAGCATGTAATTCAGTAAAGCAGTAAATATCATGTTGCATTCATGAATCACAACAAATTACTTCTGCCGTCACATCTAACTCTTTAAAGCCAGATTAATATCCTTACGTACTTAGAATGTCCATTTGCAATTACATTCCTGCAATATCGATCTGCGATTTATGCAGGCTAAAGGGGATATAAATAAAATACCGAGATATTGGTCTTTTGACCTCTCGTTTCTTCCGGATTTTCCTGTAATGAATTATTGCTTTCGAATTAAGTTATTAAATTGATACTAACATTGCACGATCCGCGGCAACAAGTCCGTAACATTCCGCCGCGATTGCGAAACCGCGCTCGTAACGATTCGAACGTTTTCGAATGTTTCGGATTCCAAGCGCGAGATAGAGAGTAAAGCGGGGAATCGCTTCGAATTCTTCGGCAAACGGCCGAGAATAGGACACCGAATCGTCCGCGATCAATGAAATTCAGGAAAGTCCGGGGCGCGACTAGTAGATCAGTGCTGAAACCGGAGAAGTACGCCAAGGAGTTTTCAAGGAACTCCGTCACAGTCGGCCGAGCGCGGTATGCCCGAGGAATTATTTATGAAATTTCGGTTTCTACCGTGGAATCCTGACGCGTGTGCGGCGCGACCGCGCTTTCCATTTCTTCCTCCTTTCCCTTTTTCTTTAGTCTCTTGCACGGGACACCTTCAGCGTAGTTCGATCCAGCCCTTTCCGCGTCCCTGCAGCATCCCTAATCGCATCTCGTTCTCTCTTGCGATACAGTACAGTTTGCACGCAGTTTCCGGGCATATGTGAGTTTTTAAATTATTTCTACACAGATACCGTAGTAAAATTTTACGTAAGATAAACAGTATAATTCGATTATAATCTTCAATTCAATCGTCAATTGGGAAATTGAAATTAGTAACGTTTCTCAAGATTATGAACAGGCCCATCACGTACGTGAGGCCATGAAGTACCAACTACTTGACATAGTTAGTCTAAAATAACAAACGGGAAGCATATCTCTACAGGAAGATAATTTTCTATTCGTCTGTTATTACGTAGAAAAATATTGTTCTTTGTAACATATGTGAGTGGAATATATAATGTTAAATAATCAATTATCAATATAACGCACACCAAGAGAGCGGTGCGGTCGTGTTTAATGTAGGCAACCGCATGTTTGTTTTCGTATCCTCGACCCAAAAGGAAATCGATGAAGATGGATATTCTTTCACCTCGAGAAAGCTATGCAGCATTAATAACACCGTTGCCCGCGGTGAAACTGATGGAAGCTGGACGTCGCATGACGTCGCGGCCGAGCCGTCCGCGTCGTGTCGTGCCGAACGAAAGGTCAGCGTATGTAATAAAAAAAATAATTGGCGAAACGTCTCAGCGTCGGGCGTATCCGACGTTCCATCGTTTTTGTGTCTCGCCGACTTACGCCACAACGCGTCGTTTCAACGTATATTCTCTCTCCTATCCCTTCGCCTTTTTATCCGAATTACATAATTGTATATCGAGAGCGAGCGGCTCTCGCGCTAGGAGAATACGCGGGATATATTTTACACGAGCGCCCACCACGCGGTGAAAGGCCCGTTCGTCTTTGCGCACTGCGAATTAAAAGTCGCCCGTAGGTATCAATAAAGCCACGACTCGTTTTGCAGAAAACGACTACAAGGTATCGCGATCGCATTGTCGAACAGGTGCGATTGCTGGCAAGGTAGCGCTTCACGGTCAAATTGTGGAATGGTATGGATGAAAGCAGGCGCTGAAAGCGCTCAGCTGGAAATACAATTAGTAGACTAACTGCCATATTATCAATCAACTTAAAAATGTTAACGCAATTTTAAGAATTTAAAAATACGAGCTTATATGGAGCTATTTAAATATTTAACATTTGGACGTCTTTCTGGATTAAACTTAGATTTTAATATTATTATTTTGGATTTTAGATTTTAATATTATTATTTAGTGATTTCATGTCACATCATACCTTGCTCGTTCCTTGGCCGAGTTACCATTTTTATTTGTTTCTTTAGATGTTTAACATTTAATTGCACTAAATAAATCTAATTAATTAAAAATTTATTAATTATACATTCAATTTTATTCTAAAAATAAAATAAACTTGTATAAATATATTTTATACAATTTCTCATGATATACACATTTCACAAATAATAAGCTATATACAAGCTCATGTATATGTAACATTAATTATTTCGTGCTTTCGTGCTTTAATGTGTCGACGGATCATTAAAACGATAAACCGTAAATCAATTATAACTACGTTACATAAATCTTTATCGACAAAAAGTATATGGATCTTGCAATTTGAATATCCAGAGGGCTATTAGCGTGCCGCAACGAATCATGAGAGACAGAGCCGGAGCGAAGAATATAATTTAATCTGACGGTAACAATTAACACCTGTCTGGCACGTGTTAGATAAGCGAGGTGAAAGTTGCCTATGCCACTATCTCGTTATTTTTTCGTTACATTGTGTCTTCCGATTTTTCACGATGCCTCTTTCATTCGGCGCGAAGCAAAAAAAAAACGTTCTGTTATAACAAGAAAAAGGTATTTTTATTTTAATGTAAATTTATTTGTAACATGTAAATATATCGGTATCGTTTTCATTTCCTCGAACCCTTCCCTTTCGCATGCTCCAATTTTAGGTCCACTTTATTGACATTTATCCAGTCTTCTGTCTCTTTAATCTTTCGCTTGTTTAGTGACATTTTGTTCAGTATCCGATCGCCGTTTATGTAACATTGCAGTTACACCAGATTATGTTGTATTTATAACGGTAGCAGATCGAACTGGCAAACTCGAATTTATGGAGCACTCTGGTGCATTAACCTATCGTCGGTGCGTGACGATAGTTGTGCATAATTATAGCTGCAACTGGTGCAACGGGGTCCGCGCGGCCCGCGCGGAGACCCCGGGCCCGATTGCGAAACCGCATAAATTACCACCGCGTAAATTACACGACGCGGCCGTGCCGAATGAGAATGGCGGGCGACCGCAGAATGTCTTTTTTTTTCTACCCTTTAACTTTCGGCGAAAGATAACTTTGCTGTTAATCTCACTGACGCACGTTATCGAACGTGATGCACGCGCGAGTCGAAAAATAATGATATGTTGCAGAGCGAAAGTCAAGTTCGAGGAAAAAAGTGTATTTATTAAAAATAAATTCATAACTGCATTTTTTCAAGAAAATTTCAAGATCGCGCTCAGTTTTCTATAAGTTGCGCTGAATAATTGGAGTTTCTTTTCTGTTTTGATCTATTGAGAGATATAAAAATAGAAATAGATTTGTCTCATTGTCAGATCACACTGCAAGTTCTGATCCCGCGGACTTTTTCGTTGCTTCATTTATACGATACATAATGCAATTTCTTTCTATTCTCTCACGTTCCGTTTGTTTCCTTTTCTTTTTCAGTTTTCGTGTCGATTCTCGACTTTCGTCATGGCCGTTTGTTATGCAGCGCGGGGGAACCTGGCGTAAGTGTCCAAAGTTGCTCGAAAAAATCTGACAGGAAAACTTAATAGCTTTAAATTCAAACGAATCATCGCGAATCGTTGAATTTTCTTTCCGTTGAATTGTGCCGATTTTGAATTTTTCAAGTATCTGGACTTCGACAACCTGCCGGAGACGAATTTCTCGTGTCAAGGAAAGGTGATCGGCGGATACTACGCGGACGTCGAGGCGGGCTGTCAAATGTTTCACGTCTGCACCATCGGCCAGAAAGGTAGTGCATCATGAAGACGGGATCCCCCAAATATTGCACAACACATGTCTTCAATCATTCATATCTTAACGCATTTACAAGAAAAAATTTTGAGAAGACTTCGAGATCAGATTTTTTTTGCGAAATTCGTCGAACAAACCGTGAGAACGTGAATCCAAATTTTAAACATTTTAATCGCTCACGTCGATATATTTAACACACATTGTACCTAATATTTTCCAATTAAAATAAAATCTTAATAATGGTATGTATAAATTAACACATAATGCAATATAATTGATAAAAAATCAATCACAATGTGAACAGAAATAAGTTTAATCGCACTGAAAATTATGCCGTCTAACGTGATACTAACACGACATTAATTAAATTACAAGCTAATCAAGCTCCGCTCTATTGAACAGATCGATGATAAAAGGAATATTTATTGCTTCATTTTGCTGGTATTTCTTTTTCGAGAGGAAAGTTACGGAGCGAGTATATTCCAATCGATAAATTAAATTCTCAAAATCGAATTTGCAGAATGAGGAGACGCGACTCCTCACACGACGAGTCGAAGCCAGACTCTCGGCTTAGGTCAGTAAACGTTCTTCGACGACCGTGACATTCTCGCCGTGAGCGATCTCCCGCGATCGATTACAAAACCGTCGATGGGCAACCTTCGTCCGGAGGGGGAGAGGGGGGGGGGAGGCTTTCGAAACGATCTACTTACCGGCGTCGATTATATACGCGATCCTAAATAGGCTCGCTGCCGCTATTAATTACCACCTCTAATTCCAATCTCTGATCCGGATCCGCGTGTTTGATAAATCACCGGGGCTCTCGGCCCCGGATCCAAACGCGGCGCGCACCGGCACCGACTCCCGCGCCACGTCGCGCCACGTGAACGCTTGACATATAAAACAATTTGCATAATTGCCTGTACAAAATCGACTTTATGGACTGGATCGGATCGAGGTGGACGCGACGCGTGTAGTATAGGCCTCTCCGGGAGTTTCGGAGAATGGAACGCGCGAATGGGTCTTCGAAATATGCGAGAAGCGTATCCCCCGAAAGATAAATCACTCTCGGTGAAGACGCGAATGATCTGAAAAATCTCGGAGACACTAAAGTCTTTTTCCTTTTAAAGAATTAACCCTGCAAAGTCAATTGATATTACACAGCGTGCAAATAAAATATACGTAATTTACGAGGTGACGTAATTTACTGACCGTACTTGATTGCATTAAGTAACGTCGATATCGGGTTCCGATCGATAGTCAGGCGAAATTCTCGCATCGCGTAATTCGAAGTCAGGACCGCGCTGAAGTCACATCAAGACTAACAACGAGCACGCCCCATGAGCATCCCCGAATAATGACCCTCTCCTTCACCGTGAGACTTGATTTCAGACGAGATTATGGACATAAAATTCCTCTGCCTGAACGGGACCGTCTTCGACCAGGAGACCAGAGTCTGCGAGAGGGTTGACGAGGTCGACTGCAGCAAGAGCGAGCGATTCTACAATCTGAATCTGGAGCTCTACGGCAATAACGCTGTGACGCTCAGGTAATTATAAGGGCGCGAGAGAATTTAACCGCGCCTTACACCTCGCTTTATATATTTAATAGCCGTATAAAATCCAGTTTTCTTTCTTCACGTTCGCCGACGGAAGGTAGCGATTTTACACGGCGCTTTAACGAACGGCAAGAGAGAATGGCCGTTGTCAAAGGGTTAATGATAATTCTGACTTTCTGGAAATTTCATTAATGACACGGCGAGTCGGTCGCTAATCTATTTTCCGGTTTTCGCACTGATGCAAATCGCTGCGAGCAGAAACTGGCTATCGAATGAAAGAAGTTGTTGCACACTCTGATTGCTTCGCCGGTCATATACAAGGTGTCGAATACGGCCGCAGTTTCCCGGCGGACTCGGACGTTCACTTTACATTTCGTAAGAACCGAAGACATACCGAACATACCTTCTCTTTGATGTAAATTTCCGCTTTTAAGATAGATATAAAAATAATGCGACAATGTCGAGAGAAATTATTGGAACCAGAAATCTGATGAATGTAAATGGAACTATTGCTTCTCTAATTTAAATAAAAATTCGATTTTTTCAGAAAATTGATTTTAATTTAAGCAAGATCTTTATATGAAAAAGAATTTTTTCCAATTTTAAATTAATTTGATTTTAAATTGATTTGATACAAGTTTACCATTAAAAATGATCAATCACTAAAACAAGCAGAAGGACACCCCGTACATAAGGTAATATCGAGTCGCCGCATTTCAGAAATTCTCGCTGGCATTTCGCGGATTGCTACATTTTTCCCGCTTCGTTTCGTTTACGCAATGTCCAAAGTAACGCTCCCAGAAATATGATCGTGTAATGTTCGCGAGGCGAAAACAAAACGACGCGGCGTGGTGCCGCTCTCGGTATCTCGGTATCTCGCATTTCCAGACACTCGTACGCTTACGGCTCGCGATGCGTGCATATTTTTGCGCACCTCGGGGTCCCAGCGTCTCGAATCGCCGTCACGTAAAAGGCACAAGACGTATATACGTTATACGTATACGTATACGTTATGTATACCCATAAATATTTCAACGGCTTTCGTCCGGTCGGTATCCCAAGAATGCCGGCGTCCTCTCCTCCACCCCGCCTCCCACGACCACGGCCGTGGGGTGTGTATGCAGACAAAAATTATAACGACTAACTGTCACGACGAGCAAAATTTATACGCCGTTCGACGTGGCGGCTAAGTCATCTCCTCTCTCGGCGATTTCTATTTTCGGCCGACAGTAAATCTCGTTCCCGTGCCGCTCATTTTACCCTCGGGGGGAGGGGGGGAGGGAGGAGGACAACACCCCGATCTCTCCTTGCTCGTCTTGCACCTTATGCGTTATTATCCTCCGTCAGCGTTGTCCGTTGACGATTAACGGTCGTTACCTCGAAGCGGTTATCTCGCGAGCCGCTCTGCGCTCGGGAATGCACCGCCGCGACACTCGAGCATCCGCTAACGACGACGATTTCCTTCCCAGGAATTTATAACGCGACGCGACACGCGGCCACGGTGAGCAGATAAAGATACTCGCTCGCCCGTATCTGCGGACAGGCATCGAGATTGCAGCCTATAAATCACCTGGCAGTGATACATGCCTCATGTAATGTAATACCTAGTATAATATCTAGTTTCTTCAAACCCATACAAAAGCGCTACCGAGAGCAGTCACGCGTCTGCGAGACAATGTCGCAACTCTTCGCGATCGACATATGTATATGCAGTATATCGCTTTTAACACCGCACGCTTCGTTTCCCCCGTTTACCCGCAGCTTGCACGAGAACGGCGAGGACGAGGACGACCTGACGATTGATTCGGTGGAGGATCATCAGCTGCGAACCACCTCGGCGCGGCCCAGCACGACCAGCACGACCAGCACGACCACGTCCCGGCCCAGCAAACCGTCCACCACGGCCGCCAGCGGCGCCTTCCAGCATCCGGCCGGCTATCCGCAGCACTATCAACCGCAGCCGCCGTTCCCGCAGGTGCACACGAGCCAGTCCAAGTCGCTGTACGACGACAAGAACGGCGGCTACCATCATCAGTACATCTTCCACAACGGCGGCGAGCGCGCCAGCAATCAGGCCACGTCCTACCAATTGTTCAGCAATCAGGGCGGCGTGAGCTCGACGACCGTGCCGCCGGCGCCACCGCCGCCGCCGCCGCCGCAGATCCACCAGATCCGGTACAGCTCGACGGTGGGTCCGCCACCGCAGATCATTCACAGCGAGCCGTCTACCGTGACGCCGTTGTTCCACGCGACGTCCTCCACGATACAGACGCTGCTCAACAGCAACGTGAACAACCCGGCGGCCTTGATCAACCCCATCTTTCACAATCACGGGATCGCGAGCACGACCGAGTTTACCGTCCACAGCAACAATCCGCGCGAGACCACCGACTACCGCGACGACGGCGATCAGGAGCAAGATATAAGGACATTGGAGGCCATACAGTCGGCGAACAAGGGCAAGGTAGGCAAAAAGTATTTTAATCATATCTAAAATTTTCTAATTTTCGCTAAAAAGTACTCGATAGCCATGCAGTCTCCGGTTTAAATTCAAGTCTACTTTGTTATTCAAATTTCTCTTACGTTTCTTTATTTCTTAGATTTCTAAGCTGACGATATCTCCGGTGCCGAGCAAGCAAGAATCGTCTCGAATAATACAGACGAAAACAAGTCAAACGTCGCAGCAGCAACAGCAGAGGATATCCGGCAACTTCCTGCCGACGCCAGCCACCATCGAGACAACCGTCAGATCGTTCTATCCGACGCCGAGGCCTTCGTCGAAGCCCCCGTCGCAGTCGGTCACTCACCAGGTTACCCAGCACATTCACGTGCCGGACGTGACGCGGCTCAAGCCTCATCAGATCACTATAAATCTACCGCCACCGGATATCCAGAGAATCGTGCAGAATCCGTCGCCTCTACTGCCCTCGCAGTCCCGGGTGATCGTCACGGCGAAGGCGAGCGTGAGCGATGAGTCCGGCAGACCCCTAAACACCACGCAACTGGTGACGTTGCCGTTGCCGACTATACCGGCCAGCTACGACGACTACAAGGAGGGCGACGAGTCGTTCGATCCCTTTTACCGCGACGTCCCGAAAATTCGCAAGAATCGCCAGAACGCGATGGAAAAAATACGAATTATGCGCGGAAAACGATCGGTCGAGCAACCATTTCATTTCGTTTACGGAGTAGATAGTCGTCAGGATAGGGATTTCAAGGTGATCCAGAAGAACGAACCGTGTCAGAATGAAGATGATGCGACGCATAAAGAAAGCGCGCGTGCCCAGATCAGCATCGAAGATTTCCGAGCTATCAAAGAGAGTCTGATAAAATTTAGGGACATCTTATTTAGCGATGAAGTGAATTCCTCTGGCAAAGATTTTTCTGATGACGGAGAAAATAAAAATAATACCGAACGCGTCGAGATAAGTAGCGAAACTTTCGATACGCCTGTAAAGCAGACGAAAGATAATGCGATAAGAAAAGTAGATTATCTAGAAGACTTGAAAACAGAAGCCTCAAAACACTTGAGTCTAAATAAGAATAAAGATGAAGAAGAGGAGGATGAGAAAACGAGTCACGGATATTCGTCTCCAAATGTCAAAATTAATGCCGAAAAATCGCTTGATAAGAGAATGCACGTTAAGAAAACACCGGAATTGGAAATTGAATTTTACACCGAATCTACGACTGCTCGTCCTCGGAAGAGCGAATCCCGGGGAGACGTTATAGACGTAATAATACTCGATTCCGACAATGACTCCAAAGTGAAAGCCACGTCCGCGAAGACTGACGCGCCTATCGAGATTATCATCGAGGAGGAAACGAAATCCGGCACGCACGACGCACCGAAGACTGACGAGAAAGTTGCGCACAAAGGACAAGTCGCGGGCTACCTGATACAGGATGAATCGGGGAAGCGGTCGAACTCCGTCGCCGGCGAGAGAGAACAAGTGACAGCTCCGCGCGAGACGATCAAACGGAAGGGTGGTAAGGATAGCGGAGAACGAAAGCCTGGCACGAGAAGGAAGGTTTCTCGACCGAGGTCGTCGAGAAAACGCATATCCTCGAGGATAAGGCAGCAAAGGACGGGAAACGTCGAAGTGACGGAGGCAATTCGACAAAAAGAAGAAATGGAAAGAACGACTACTACTACTACTACCACTACGACTAGTACTACGACTGTTGCTACCACTACTGTTGATACTACTACTATTACTTCTACTTCTACTGTTGCTCCCACTACTACCGTGACCCCATCCGTCGCAGCTTTCGAGACGAAAGTTGCGGAGCAAATTGACAGTAATATTTTCGGGGAGTCTGAGTCGCAAACTTTTAAAGAAGTTGACACGAGGGCAATCGGGCAACGCGGCGCGACGTACTCGAAGAGCTTGCAGGACGGCAAGAGCCACGATGCCAGCAGGAGTAAGGACACGGAGCGATCGTTCGATCGTCAAATTGTGGAGGATCATACGAAGAGTTCGGGGCTGAGCGCTGATAAAGTAGAGGAAGGGGAACAGGAAACGGAATCGACGGATTATACGCAGAGCACCGGCGCGGAAGATACGACCTTAACCGAGAGTCCGCCTAGTGTAAAAGAAACGAGATCGACAGACGTTACGCACGTCTCTGAAGAAAAGAAATCTTCCAACAACGAAGAATTCTCTTCCCAGGAATACGAAATTCCGGACGACGATGAAGCTAACGCGAATACGAATGAAGAAGAAACCGAAGAGAGTTTGGAAGACGATTCTAGCAAGACTTCTTCCGACGAAGTTACGACTTCCCTTGAAGGCAACTCGAGGCAAGAGGAGCCCAATGGCGAAAACGCAAGCGAGAGATCGAGCACTGATATTTCGGACGAGGAGCAGAGTTCAACCGCGAATTACAGCGACGAAATAAATTCCGAGGAATTAAACGATTATCAGGATATAACGGAATCGTCCGCGGAGAGCACGCGCAGCATCCAAGAGGATTACAGGGAGTATCCGGAAAGTACCGAGATTCCCACGACGGATTACACGAATTCCGAAGAATACAACGATTCTCAGGAGGAGGTCACGGGATCGACCGAGGAGGTCGACAGCAGTACCGAGGGTATTCTGAAATTCACGAACGAACTACCGGTATCGGACGGCAAAGCGGACGCGGAGACAACGGAAGAGACGTCGGCGTTATCTGACGAAAGCGACACGCACGATTACATCGATGACAATTACGAACCGGAGAATTACAAGGAGACAGAAATTACGACGAAATCGAACGAATCCGAGGAGGACAAGGATGAAGAGAAGAACGACGAGAAGAAGAAAGATACGTCGGTGAAAGATTCTCATGCAAAGAATATAGAGCGGATCGATGATAGCGCCGAAGTGGAAACGCAGACGGAGTACGTGGATGTCACGGAGGATATGAAGGGTCTCCAGGAAATCGCAAGTTTAACCACGACTTCGTCGACCACAACGGCAGCGTTAACCACGACGACGTCGACTACTACGGCGTCGACCACGACAGCGCCGATCACGACAGCGGCGTTGAGTACAACGGCGTCGACTACGGCGGCGTTGATTACGGCGGCGTCGTCCACGTCGGCGTCGACCACAACGGAGTCAATCACAACAACGGCACCGAGCACAACGACCACGATCACCACACCTCGACCGAAGATCACCCGTCGACCGACGATTACCACTCCTCGCCCCACGCCGCCGAAAATCTTTAAGCCTACCGGTAACAAAAGGATTTATGCTTACATGCCGCCTACGACGACTCCGAATCCGGTCGTGATCAAGCCGAGACTGGGCCTGTACAATCCAAAGCCGGCGAAACCGCCTAGATCTTATAACGAATTGGCGGCGAAACCGATGATCAGAAAACTCGTTCTATCACGAAAACCACCTACCACCACTGCAGCTACTACTACTGTTATTACTATTACCGATAATTTAAATACGGAAAATCCGGAAATTACGACGGAACCTATGACGGTGACAACGGCGACGGCGGCAACGACGACAGCAACAACAGCAGCAACGACGATGGCAGCAACGACGATCACGGTAGCAACAACGACGACGGCAGCAACGACGACGGCAGCAACGACGACGGCAGCAACGACGACGGCAGCAACGATGACGGCAGCAACGACGACGATGACAGCACCGACGACCACGACGACAGCATCGACGACCACGACGACGGCACCGACGACGACGACGACGGCACCGACGACAATGATGACGACAACGGTGGCAGCGACGACGGTGACAGCGGACTCCGGTAGGAGCGAAGAGAACGGCCTCGAGAGCAAACTGGAGGCGAATGAACATATATCCGATTCTTCCGCGAAGAACGATCAAACATACAAGGAGGATCAACTTCCGAGTCCGTCTGAGCAGAATAATACTCCAGTCAATTCTTCGAGGGATCCGGAAACTACTATCACGAAAATCGAGGCTTTCACTCCTTACCCTCTGTCTAGATCGTCCACCCTCGCGGTCCACCCTTCTGGCGAGCGGACGACGAAGAAGGTGGAAGGCGACGTTGAGTCGCAGGAAACGACGGAGGACATTGATATTCCCGTGACGACCGTCCCGCCGAGGACATCGCCGTCCGAAAGGCCCGAGTACGTTGAGATCACGCCGAGTACTGAGAAGTACCTCGAAAAAGCGAAGACCACCACAACAGCTTCCACTTTCAAAGCCTATCAGCAGGCGACCTCCTCTCCGGTCTCTTCGGTTCCTCCGATTCCCGAACGCGCGACGTCGGTCTCAATCTTGACGACCGTCTTGCCCAGGGCGGAGGACGCCGATGTCGATTCCGATGCGTCGATGGAGATCGCGTCGATGGAGGTCCTCAGATCAAGCGGCCGGAAACCCGCGAAGCCGCGGAAGCACCCGAGCTTTAATTGCCTGGAGAGGGAGATGTATCGCTTCTACGGCGACATCAGGGACTGTCGGTTGTTCCACTATTGCTCGCCCGGTTTCACCTCGCGGCAGGTGCTGGACTTCCGGTTCGTGTGCGAGGAGGGCACGGCGTTCGACGAGGTGACGCAGAGCTGCCGTCACGACGTGCGCAACCGGAAGTGCCGGAACCGCTCCTGATGAGAGCGTTTTCCCGCCGCCCCACCGCCGACGGAGAAAGAGGGGACGCTCCGCCGTTTCTCGTCTCCTCCGAATCCCGTGTTTCGCCTCGATTCCGTTGATTTTGGTAATTCGTGAATCCTCTAGGACTCCTTAGCGTATTTATATTTTCTTCCTTTCTTCTTATTATTTTTTTTTTAACACGCAATACGTAAGAATACCCCGAAGAAGAGGGCTCTCCCTCCTTCTCCTAAGCCCATTGCCATAGCGCGCCTCGCGCTGGATTCACACTTATTAAAGTTAATGCGTTCCGCTCGACTCGCGATCGTCGATCGGATCAGAGAAGGAAGCGAGGAGGCACGTCGTCGGGCGCGGGTCTCGTGCACCTGAGGAAAAAAAATAAAGAAGTCGCACTTATCGTTAGCGTTAAGTAAGAGAGCGAAGAAGTCGGTTCCTACGTTGTCCTCGAGATGTGTTTTGGCGCGAGAGACATTAAGCGGAAGATAGTCGCGCGATTGTGTGTGTGTGTGAAGCGATTTCATATCGCAATCATCCCGTCACGCGAATAATTCGGATGCGCGAATTTTTGAACGTTGCCGAATATTGCCGAAGAAACTACGCCCTACGGTTCACCCGTGCTCTTGGCATCTTGCTCGTGCGCAGCGCGTATAAATGAATTTTATAGCCGCCTTGTTGGCCGAATAAATAATATAGACTTTTATCGAGATAAAGTCGAATATATATTTTTGATAAAATACTTGCAAGATTGTGCATTGCACCACACAAATCAGTGTGTGCGGTAAAATATTTTCCTAACTTATCTAAAAATATTTTCAATCTTCCTAGAATTTCGCATAAAACTTTTGATATAAAGCATTTTTCGAAACTATGCCTTTTATACATTGTTAAATAATGTTAATTGTCGTGTATATATTGCAGGGGTATGTCGAACTGAATGCCGCGGGCACAAAATGATCGATATCGTTTAATGCACTCGTCGAATTAATTCGTCACGGCGTCAAAAGTGCAATCAGATGAAACATCATTGCTCAAACGTCTAGGTACGAAGGTAGCTTGATAAAACGATTAGATAGATTATCTCGAAGTAACGGACGTGCAAGACGTGTAATTGATTTAACGGGCGCGTTACAGTGACACAGTCTGACATGTGAGAAAGCCGAGGGGATGCGAGATCCCGCGGTTTAAACACACACACAGTTTGTATAATTCGTTTCAATATATTCAATTACACGCATTCTGCTGTCAGGCGCGACCGCGGCACGCCCGTAACGTAATGCAAGTCGAACACGATTGGCGTTACCTTTCGTAAAAAAAAATGCTCTTAATTTCCTACTACTAATCAGCGCGCTTTAATCGCGAGCGGAAACGAGTGCGCCTTTTAAGTCAGCCGTAGACGAAGTGTAGATGTACGTATATTTTTGCGAACACTTATATTCCGGAACATCTCTCTAGCGATTTAGTTTAGATAGAATCTATAGAAAATTCGTACGTGCCGCCAGATGAGCACGTAACTCGCGTTAACAATTACCGCGTATGTATATACGTTGCGCGTATACGTTTTCAACGACGTACATACACACGCATGTCCAAATTTGTATCTATTATATATTTTTTAAGCAACTGTACCATGTCAATAATAATTGTATATTCTGTACGCACACACGTGACATTTACTCTGGCTTTGAAAAATACCTTGCGCTATCACTTTACGAGTAGATTTAATTAATTCAAGTGTGATTTAAGATTAACGTAAATTATATTATATACTCTTTTCACAAATTGTTTTCATCGAGTATTAGTTTTACTAAAAATACAATTTTATTTAAAAACAAATTTCTATAAATAATTAAAAAAAAACAATTTTAATTAACCAAAGTAGAAGCTCTAAGGATTTTTCTTTTCCAATATTCATTTTTTTTTCTTGAGAAGAGAAACATCAACCTATCTTTGTGACACGCTATCTTCAGTTGCTAAGTGCGTTTTGAAACGGTATTATTTGACGTTGAGAAGAATTGAAGTTGAGAAGTAAGCGTTAATTTACCTGCAGTCGTTAAATGCTTTGTTAAAGCTCCCAATTGTACTGGCTTTGAAATATCTCGGAAACAAGCATTCACCGTTAAGAAAACCTTTAATAAAATCGTTAACACATTTTAGTTCGCTATTGGATAAAGTTTACTCCAGTAAACTGTCAATTACAGAATTCAATGTTGCAAAACTATGACAGTGTATAATCTCGAACTTTGATTGCAAAAACAACCGTCTGCAAAGGGTATTTACTGGGAGATGGATATTTATTTTTATATTTTTATTTATTAAAAGTCTTCTACAGTTCTATATTAAATATGTATTCTTAAGGCGACTTGTAAGTAATAGTATATACATTATTTATAGCATCAGCGCACACATATGGCAATTGAATTTTTATTTCATCAATCAACACAACGCATTTTTAGATCATTATACGGATTACTATTTGCATCACACAATTCTGTCGTGTCGAAAATATATCAAAGTTTATTGCAATTCTTGATCGTTATTTTTTTCGGAATATTGCGTCGTTATTTTTTCCATTCTTCAATGCTGTCGGAATTTAAAAAAGCCTAGCCTGCTGGTAAGATGGAGTGGTTCTCGCTATCGCTTCGTGTTCGCTAAAAAAAAAGCATTTAAAATTAAATTAAATATACGTATATTTTCTATTTAATCAAGTGACGTCGAGAGAAAGATAAAAATTTCAGAGCATATGTGACAATAAATTAACTTATTATTTAATTTAAAATAAAGATACTTTAGATTTTTCATAAATTATTTTTAATTTTAATGTTTTTTAGGAATATTTAAAAAACATGTATACATACAAATTTAAAAATATTAAATAAATATTAAATACAAGCAAAAGAAAAAGTACATCTTATGTAAAGGACGTTTTTAAATATCACTCACCAGCCGGTGACATTTTCCGCAGCGTCGCAGGCGTCGATAAGCTCGTTGAAGGCATTTCCAATGCCGCAATTTTGCAGCCTTGGACGACCGTTCACGCAGATGTAAAAATGATGGCAATCGGCGGGGCTGCGATAAAACTTAATCCCGGAGTCCAAGAAGAAACCGCTCTTCACCTCCGGGCAGCGGAAGCCGAGGAAAGTCTCGGCGTCGCAGTCCGGCACTTGATCCGGCCAGTCGCACCGATAGCTCTGCGGATTGAAGGCCAGACCCTCCGGACAGTCGAATACGTAACCCCTGCCGTCCACGCAGTTCATGAACTGGCCGCAGTTCCGTTGATCGCCGATCTTGAAGTAGCCGTACTGATGAGGACAATCGTTGCTCGGGTTTGCCGGCTCTGAAAGAAATTTAACGACAACGTTTCGTCATTCAATCGCGCTTTGATTCACCAGCTTGATTCGCCAGAAATTTTTTTTCGATGGATCTCCAACAATTTTAGATAGACAAAACGCGAGATGGCTCGAATTATATAATTTCTCTCATTAAAATCTTAGATGATAGAAGATTTTCTATAATAAAAATTTAATAACAATTAAGGGACTCACGCAAATTCGGCCTGCCTGTGCAGTCTATGTCGATCGGATATCCGCAGGGATAGTTGAAGCGCGCCTCAGGGTTAAAAAACAGACCTTCGGGACACAGCTTCTCCTCGGGGATTCCATCGATGCACTCGATGTAAGCATCGCACTGATTCTGCACCGGATAGCGACTGTTTCTCTCCGGACACGACGCGGACGAGCCACGTTTCGGCGAGAATTGTTGCTGATTCGAAAATCCGCGATTCAGCTGATTGTCGAACGGCTGATTCGAAAATCCGCGATTCAGCTGATTGTTGAACTGCTGATTCGAAAATGCGCGATTTTGCCGATTGTCGAACAGCTGATTTGAAAATCTGCTGTTTTGACTGAGCGCTGAAATGGGAATAAATCGTTTTAAGGAAATTTTCACTTCAAATACAGCGTGCACTTTATAATATCATGTAGACAATCGCGTTTGTTAGACATCCATACCTTTAAATTGAAGTTAAATTAAAGTACAAATAAAAATAAACTATAACAAAATAATTTAGCTTGCTAAATACTTTTAATAAAAATAACTGCGACTAAGATGTTCTCATCGAACGATCGTACGCAAGCAAGAGGCCTAGTGTTACGCACACAGAAGAAACTTTTCTCTCTTCCAAAATTCCAGCTACCAAATTCACGGAATAAAGATGATTCCAATTTAATTTAATATTGCGTGTAAAACTTGTCAAACGAGTTCGTCCAGACAGTATTAACAGGTGGTTAATGCAGCGTATAAGATTACCGCACGACGGCGAAAGTTCGGCTCGACCTCTACGAAGATGTTGCATATATTAATGTTACCTGCGCACATCGCTTGCGCAACGCGTTTGTAACCGATTTACAAACTACATCGAATTGAACCCGATCGATCCGAGGATCGCATTTTCAAGAGAAGAAGTAAAAAATTAACGAGGATTTTTTTCAAAAAATAGAAGTAATGGCGCTACAAATGAGACTAAATTGTACAAGAAATTTTCTTCGATGCTGCGTTCCTTAACGATAAAATCTATTTGGGTGAGGCCCGAAAAAGCCGGTTTGCTATCAGATTTCAGGGCGTTATAAAAGCCGAGAAACGATGACGATGGCTCGAATCTCTGCGCACGAAAACTGCGGCGGCTGTTCCCAGAGATAATTTCCCTCGAGACATTTCCGCGGGGCAGGAATTGCGCAAGGTAATGAGTGCAAACAACGAGAGAGAAAGTTTCGCTGATTACAAACTCGATTATCTGTCGTTAGGCCGACGAGGACGAGCGTTTTAATCCCGCCTATCGAAGTCCTTCTGTCCGAAGGTCGAAAGTGAGTTTCTCTGGTTAAGAGACACTGGAACGCGCATCATACATTAAATCCAGGTATCCCCGCAAGAAAAACAAGATAAAACAAAAACGTTTGTTTCCTTTTTTTTAAATTATAACGTAAAACTCGATTACAATCTTATTAATGTAGCGGCCGTTGTAAGTCTAACTACAACAGCGGAGGATTAATATTCACGCGTGTCTAAGTTTTAAGCTTAAAAATTCATTTTCCCAGCAGCGGGCGAGCGCATCGCATACAAATTACCGATGCGCTCGTGACTGTGCATACGTATAGTAATATGTGACAGTAAACTGTGCTATTCAGGCCGCGTGGCATTTATAAAATTAGATGTACACAAATGTCCTAAGCGTCCTGGAATTTAGCCAACCTTGTTAAGCTATCCGCGAATTACGTATCGTAATTACTTGCGTAATGTTACATAATGTTACATAATACACCTTGGAAATGTGTACTCCGTTCGTATTGGCGATAATTTCTGAGATGCCAAATCGATTCGTATCAGAAATTCAATCGGAAATTCAAATCAGTTTAATAAATAATGAATGATAAGTCAAATCGATCATTAAAAAATTAAATGTTTCAACGTTTAATTATTAAAAATCATCTTTAATTATAAAATCAATACGAAAAAAAAGAGAAGAAGAAACAGAAGGATTTATCCAACATTCGTGTCGCACACAGAAGATTGTATCGAGAGAGGACTCTTTTATTGTGCACACAGAGAATCTGAGACACTTGCGCCGTTCGAGAAATCACATCACTGTTTCTAGGCATGGCCCTGAAAACGATTACAATCCTTGTCTGTCCGTTTGCACTTTGCGGTCGGCGAACGGACGACGGTATTTCACTTTCTTGAGTGCGCAAAAGAACACCGCCGGGGTTAAACTCTTACTCACACATAGTCGCAGCGAGGACGCCGCAGGCGATTAGCAGACGGACGATCGGTCTCGAGGCCATCTCGGGCTCGTCGTCGCTGGAAGTCCACGTTCTTTCTGGCCCGATCCCGAGAGGAAGACTACGACGCGCCGCCGTCGCCCGGCGTGCTTTTATCATCTTCGCGCGCGGATGAGAGCGGGAGAAGATGTAGCCGCGCGTCTTCCCTCGCCGGCTGGAAATCGTTCCGTCGCGCGTTCTTCTTCTCAAAAGTAAAAGGATGGATCGCGACGTCCGTCGTGTCGCCGAAAAGCCGACACGTCGCGGTCGCTCCGCTCCGTGGATCGAACAATTTATTCATCCCGCGTCATCCGCGTCTCAACTTAACGTGCAGCACTTGGAATTAGAAAACGATCGATCGCAGCCCGTAAATGCGTAGATCCGCAGTTTAAAATTAATTGCGTCATACCTGATTTGATTCAAATTGAATTAAATTCTGATAATTAATAATAAATTAATATATAAATTGGAATTTATTTTTCAGGAGAATATAATTGATGTATAGATATGCAAGAATTGTTTTATGCGATTTCCTAAATACTATCATTTCTCCGTTTTTAGCAATAAGTTTAACAACCGAGATTGTATCCGTTTAACAATATCTTGGAATTGGAGACGCGCTAGCTTGGGTTTGAATGTCAGAATAAAGGATAAATGTCATCCGCACTAGCCTTGTCCGTCTCCTCGAAACGAGGATGGCAATTGCCGAGAAGTCGAGTCTCTCTCTTATATCCAATAAAGAGCGACGCGATAACACGCGTTGCATTTAAACACTCGTTTATGCGCATTATACTACGCTTTTGTGCATAATTCATACGCAGTAATAATTGCGCAGATAGGTGCGTAAATATAATTTACATGAAGAATTAACGTGTTTAGCGTGTCATTACAATTCAATGAGGCCACAAACATGAATATATAATTCGTACCTAATATGGCACTTTTGTCCGAGGTATTTTTTTATGCAAAGAAAATGTGAGCGAGATTTTAACAGAATCGAATTCTAATCTACATAATACAACTCGGTCAATATTATTATTATTATTATTAATTATAATAATCAGAAATATATTTTTTTTGTACGCGTTTTACTCCTTTTTATGAATTTTTGTTTCTGAAGGAAAATCAAATAAAATTTATATTTTTGTTGTGAAAGGATATAATGAAATTTTTTCCAAATGTTCTCTCGATTTCTTTTTTGTTTCCCGCTTGGAGCCACGAAAAGAGACGAAAAACACGGATGTTTGCGTGCCGCAGCAGAGGAGCATCTCGCTCCGGGAATGGAGCCTTGACATTTTCCTCGTACCGACAAGAACAAGTCGCCTCAAATGTGGAAGGTGGACGTCTAGCGGTGGTCTTTCACCTCATGCGACGCGCGCGGCCAACATCTGATTACATCACGTCAAAATACTGGCGGCAATTCCCCGAATATCTCGCGTGTCATTGCGCGATAATTCCGCACGGTGCAACATGTAACAACGCATTAGATTCGATGAGTCAGGAATTTCCACGGCGGACGGAATTTTACGCGCACGATTTTTGATTTATGATTGGAATTCCTACGAACGTTTCGCAGGAGGTCGGTCAACAAAGAAGATCGATCGACGTTCGATTGTTGAAAGAGCTCGGCGTTGCGTCCATTTTAGACGGTATATATGATTCAGATTTCGAATCGTTATAATAATTATGTTTTTTCAATTTTATGCGTCCTGCAATATGAAAGACAAATTGAAGAATTAGAGCATATAAAAAGTTGTAAATAAAATAAGATAAAATAGAACAAAAAGCTTGTAAATAAACCGCGTCAGATTTTAAAACAAAAATCTGACGCGAATTATAGATGTTAGTTAAATTTATTACAAATGATATATATTTAATTTAAAATGAGTTTTAGAAACGTTGTCTGTCTAATGACGGTCGGTAACTACTGAAAGCGCCGCGCGGAATGTCTGACAACGAGCGGCCGCTACTACTTCGCCTCGTCTATTGGCTGTTACGTATGTACTTCTTTTTATTTGGGTTGATTTAGTGGATCAAATAGATATTGGAATGCTTACGTTGTATTCGAAGATTGTAATATTAAATCTAAATTTCTGAATATAGAATATTTCTCTATTCATGCATTTTACGTTAAAACTGTATAAGAATATATAGATCAAACTTTCCACACGATCCTTTTAAAATATTGCGTAACGACTCTTTCGCAATTTTTCATACAAGTGCCACGAGATTAAAAATAGTTTGTTTTCCTTAGTGTAATTTATCGTGCAGATTGAGACTACCTGTCGCTCGCCGCTCCGTTGTTGATCGAAGTATTTGTTTTTATCGCGCCTACATCTTGCGTTTATCCCACGTTAACCCTTATTTCCCTTTTTTTATTTCTAATTTTATATTCATTAATGCTGCAGTTATATATATTTACTACCGCATGCGGGGAAAAGGAAATACACGTGGAAACATTTAAATAATATATCACGCGATAAATTCACGACAAAAAACTTCTAAGAAAAGAAAAAAAACGGAGAGGATAAAAATTATGTAAACCTGCTCGATTCAGATGGAACAATGATTTATATCGACGACGAGGCACGTTGAATCATTGTATTTTACACACGATCACGTCTGGGAAATAATGAATGACATCGTACCGCCCTCTTTAGCTTTTGAATAATCACTTTTATTTTTGATCCTTATCAATATTAAACAACGTATATAGTTACGTAAGGGTATATATATTACATGGAAAATTCTGTCCTTCTCGTGCGCATATATCTTCCCGAGATACCTCGAGTGCCCACCACCCGACCGTCCCGAGAGAAAAAAAAAAGTATATCGTCACGCACATGCATCATTCACTCTCATTCTTTCTCTCCCTCTCTCGCTTTCTCTCTTTCTCTCACGTTTCTTTCTTTCTCTCTCACATTCTTCCTTTTATCCTCTTTCCCTCTCTCTCTCTCTCTTTCTGTCTCTTTCTTTTCTTCTTCCTCTCTGTTTCTATTAAGAACAAGACAGATTATTTTTTTTTATGTCTGGTTCTTTCCCGGCAAACGAGAAAAATTACGTTCTCGCGGAATTTCCAACGTTGAAGGACGCTTTTGCAACTTCCATTTTTTCAGACGACGCACGTTAGTCGCCACGCCACGCCGGTGCGACTTCCTCTTCCCCGGGAACTCGTAATCTCGCATCTTCCCGGGTCGTTCGCGCGTCCCATCCACGCGAGTTGCGGATCAATACGCCCCGCAGGAACGATGCACTCGTGCAAATCCGATGTGGCGTCGTGCGTGTTAAGGGCGACGCGCGGAATTGTGCGAGGCGCGCGCGCGTTCTGCATATCACGCGCCGTCTCGCGAAATTGCTTACGTAGGAGATTGAAACCGCTACGAATTAATTTAATATTAATAACGCCCGCTCTTCTCGCCCGTAATGTCGCTCTCGTAATGTCGCTCGCCGTTATACATTCGCGTTTCGGGGATATTAACAATGCGGAGCGCGTCAGATGCAGCCTCCAAATTCCATCGACACCGTCGTAACCGCAATCGCTGCGCACACACACTAGAGACATTTGGCTGCGTACTTTTAGAATGACGAGAACGTGATACAATCTCCTTGTTATCTTCATCCGTTCGCAGAGGGGGGGTTTTTTTTCTTTAGAGAGGAGAAAATAGAAAATAAATAACTTTTGCATCGATTCGCGCACTCGTTGCAGCGTCGCATATGCTCGACACTCGTGGAACTCGTATTATTCTATTGTATTCTATTAAATCAACGTCGTTATAAGATAAATAACTCTTTGTTAGATCCCTGTCATTCTTAGTGCTTCGCTTTCACGGGGAACGTTATATCTCTTCGTTATATAGCTTTACATTCGTACGTTTTATACGAATTTTATTACGCTTGCAATTATGATCCAGGGACGAATTGCTCTTCAGTTGCTGATCGCTTACTATCCTATCGTTACATATCGCACTTCCAACGGAAAAGAAGAAGGTGGAATTATCGCGAGTATCACAAGTCGATTTCTTCACAAATCGCGTCTATAGAAGGGGAAGGAAATAATTACCTAAATTATTTATTATTGCCGCAGGTATATGCACAACGATTGTGCCACACACCATATACATTGCTTTCCTTCACATTGATGGAGATACTTGCAATCTCCGCCTCCTCAAAAAAAAAAATATATATATATTATAAATAAAATAAACAAAAACAAATGGCGATTTCGCAGCGCTTTCGCAGTTGTCACTTTCCTCGACTGAAAGTGCGATATTTCTCCGCGTCGTGCCTCCTCGCCGGGAGCTATGTAATACTTTCAACTTACAGCCGTCGAAACTCTCAAGGTATTCCGCAGCGAGTTACTGCGATTTCAAGGTACACACGTGACATCTGTGCGGGATCCGCCGGTCTTGATGCAGAACCAAATTAAACGTGCTTAAAAAAAATGACGTCCACGACAAATATCCTAATTCCTCGGACAGCCTGCGAACGTCCTCGCGGATGTTTCTCGTCGACTTTTATGTCGACTTTTAGATCGCGTTAACACTTCCGCCTTTAAAGGACAGATCAGACTTTCTTTTTTTACTAACGTCCCTCTGAACTTTAAATTTTACTTTGATCGGTTTGTGCACCTCGACCGACGTCGTCCCGCCATCTTGTGCAATAGGCCATTTCCTCCTATCTAAGAATACGAAAGACTAACTAAAAGGGCAAAGAGTAAAACGCCGCGTCCTCCTCGTCGTTCTGCTATTAGTCTCGCATTGTAGTCCTATTCTCCCCGAGATACACCGAGACACGCAATCTCGATGGATCTGCCGGCTAACAATATTATTCGTATAGGTAGCATATTTGATTTGACAGGCTGAAGAATACGAGGAAGCAATGTCGCTACGCGAAATTTTAATGTTATACCGACTTTAAAGTGCAATCGAATAGATCTGGGGAGAGGTATCGGTCGAAAGATATTACTCTCTAGTTTCCAATTTATTCGTCGCAATGAAAACGAATATTCTTGCGTTTATAACTTTCGGAATGCAACTTTTGCAAATGGTGGACCGACTTTTAATCGAGATTTACATAAGTTTAATTAGTTCATTAAAAAGGAATTAAAGGGATTACAGAATAAATTAAGAAATTGAATAAATGCGACACAGCTCCTTCGTCAGCTTCGCTCTTTCAACCGCCATGTATTTTTTTGTCCGTTTTAAGGAAGGGATCTCTAACGTCTCGTCTAACGTCTGGAGAGATGTATACAGGCACTGTTCTTTCACAGAGTAAACTCCCGTCCGTCGGGGATCGCGATAGCGCGAATCCGCGGCAGACAGAACGGATATCCAAGAGCACCGCAATTTTGCTGGCAATACGCGTCAACGTCATCGTGAGAAGGCGTGCAAATTCGCCTCGATCGCTAATTTTATTTCGAAAGCGCGTCCCTCTCTTACGACGTTGGATAAATGTTCTCAAAGTTGCTCAGCAATATTTTTCAATCCATTGTATACAAAGTATATACATAACGGCCAAAGTTTGTGCTTCGTCTTAGGAAAGTGCCGTGTAAATATGTATGTAAGTATATTGAATTATAAATCGCGTACGAGATTTATGATCCAAGTTTTCGCAGGACATTTCACGGTGACGTGGACTCACAGTGCAATTAGTCGGCTCCCTAAGATATCCGCGACATTATTACAGGGGTAGAGGATCAAGACGAGAAGAAAAGGAACGGATACAAATCGCAAAATTGCATTGCAAACGCGAAATTCGCGCCTGCGCTCCCGTCTGGTAAAATTGGACCGGAATATATTTGGCCATTTAAGAGTTGATGCAACTTTAATTTTAATTTCAGAGACGCAACTCACCCGCAATTCTTGAGTATTAAGTATTAAATATATTAGCGTTTAACTTACGTAAAAACTCACCATTTAATTAGGTCAAAATTCCACTAAAAGAGTTTAATCCGAGTTGAGTCCGGAGTTCGGTTCGATGGATTTCGAATTTTGATGAAGAACGAGGAGAAAGGATATGGAAAAAGTTTCCTTCTCTTTTCATTTCCATACAACGGACTCGGGAAACTAATTAATATCGTGACCGCGAGCGTAGATGCGAATTTACGACCGCCCTGATATGTATCACTTAAAAAATCGAACAGTCTCGTGTGTAGAACGTATTCTACAGTACGAAGAGTGCTACACGTATTCCGCGGAACGCGCGAACGTCGTACGCGCGACCGACGGCGACGCGCGACGCGGCGCGCGGCGGTGGTCGCGGCGTAGGCTGACTTTTCGCGATCACGCGACGTTTCCGCGACGTGTGTCGCGCGCCGCGAATGTGTGCAGGACTGATATGTGTGAAAGGATCACCCCGATCGATATGTTGAGAATAAAAAGCGAGAACCAAGCTCTCGACCTGCCCCTGTAGCGTGTCGAGTATCTCCCCTTTCGATCCTCGGAATCAATTTTACGCTTGGAACGCGAAACGATCGACGTTCATCGTCGTCGTTAGAGATGTACAATGTTTCGATCACAGAGAAATATATTTGTGTATATATATATATATATATGTATAATATAGATATATGTGTATGTGTGTGTGTGTGTGTGTGTATACAAGTTTTTTTTCATCCTCTTTCCTCACGAGATTAATCGGGATCCCACCGGTTTCGCCGAGAGACCCGTGCGCGATAAACTAAAGGGGGATCAGGGTGAACGATCGACTCTGAAAACGAGCTCGCCGTTGTTGGGATAAATGAGATATTATACGAGTTATACAATGCACGCGAATTTATATAATAAAAATGGAGAAATTTATGTAATAAAAATGTCACTCGCGTGTACGCGTTGAAAATGTTTTCATTTTTGTTTTTTCTAGTTGCTTTTCCTTTCTCTATAACTCTCTCTTTCTGAACGAACACTTTGCTTCTCAAGAATCTAATTACCAGTAATGCTGTTGAGACAATTTTGTCTGGAGATTAAATTTGTCGATCGCCGGCACCCTGAGTCCTCTGTAACGTCGCCTCGAAATCGTCGTTCACGTGGGAATAAGGGACGCGGAATGCTGGACGACTCGAGAGAGAGCCGCGGGACGATTTCCGCACACGGGAATGCGGACGAAATGCTAACTAACGTAAGTAGTAAAAGTGGCGGAGCAGCTTGGACGAAAGTAAGTACAGACACGAGAAGAAATATGTTTCGCGAAAGCGATCGCGGGGCCGGGCCGGTCGTCGTACCTGCCAACGTACCTTGCCCAACGTTCGAGCGAGCGACCGACGCGTCGCGACGCGTCGACGCTCGCCTGGAAGATGCACGATCGAATGTCGAATAGTATGCACGACGTCGTGTCTCCGTTACGATGAGCGCGGAACGACAGGGGGGCGGGGGTCGCAACGATACGCCGAGGATACCTGCCGTGTGTGGCTTTGGGGCGTCGCGCGAGGAGGAAAACCGATCGTGAAATAAAATAATAAAATTTATTTGCGCGTCAAAGCGCGTCCGCTCTCTGCGTGACTCCAACCGCGCGTCTCGGCCTCGCAATAAATTTCTTGCGACTCCTTTCTGGTTCGCATTTACTTGATTGTTCCGCAATGCGCAATCGATAAGTATTTCGCGTTATGACTTCCGCGTTTTATCGCGGTCGCGTGTCGCGCGCCTCTCTGTGCTACTCGGGATATTTCGCGGATTACGCTTACGCGACGGTGGTCGATCATCGCGATTTGATCCCTCGGAATTAATAATCGCCGAACGACAGACGTCGGTGGACGATGGATGTTAACAGAGGAAGGGAACAGCCAAGAGACTCTAAAGCGCGAGGATCACCACGGTGCACAACAAACACGTATCCCCGGCTGTCTTATGCCATCTCGACCCCGGGATAATTGAAGCTCCACTCGTGGCGTGAATAAGTAATCACGGCGACGCTCGGGCAAACGCATGCACTCGCTCGTATCGGAGACACGCGGTCGCGCATTCCCCCGACCGTAATTACTCGGGAGTATCGAGGGCTATCCTCGATTCATCGCGCGGAACACACTAGCGGACAGAGAAGCACAACGGACTTGTGCACGTACGTACGGAGAAACGGTTTGTCTCGAAACACCGAAGATATGTACACGAAAACGAAATCTTTGTATCTCGCGTCGTCTCCCGTCTATCCTCCGATGTCTTCGCGATCCCGCAAGAAAAATTGGACGAATTGTAAAGTCGATCGAGAGGAGATTTTCATTGAAACGAAATCGTCTTAGCTTTTCTCTCTCTCTCTCTCTCTCTCTGTGGTTCTCCCTTCTGTCTTTTTTAAAAATCCCAATTATGTATCTCGACTCCGAACGAGAAATTGCTTTCCTGATTCTTGAACTAAACAAAGTCGGGGGAGTAGTATGTCAATCAACGGGAACAAGATCACAAGTTTTCGCGATTTTGGAAAGTTCAATCCCCACCCCGATTCTTTTCGATGTGTCTAATCTTCTTGCAGCGAGCTCAAATAATCGTACTCGTCCTCAATCCTTTGTCCTCAATACGTCATTGGGAGGCGACGCGCGCTTAAATACTAGATAATTTATACAAATTGCGTGTAAATTAATAATCAAAGGATTTACTCGAGGTAAGACGTATGTAAGTATTGTAGTAAGCTTAGATATACGATTACAATATGTTAGACTAGACTTCTTTTTTTTTCTTCTTTTTGGGAAAGACTAAAGTTAGGCAAAAGATGACGTTTTTCTTTGTTTTTTTTCTTTTTTCTTCATTAAAGTTCACTTCTACGGATTCTCTCTCTCTCTCTTTCTCTCTAACATATTCTTTTCTTCATTATTCATTATTCTCTCAGGCACGCCTTGCTCTTTCTCTTACGTCTCGCTTTTTTCTTTCTCTCTCTCTCTCTCTCATTTTCACTCGTACTTTTCATTCGTTCTCTCACTCCGACACACCTCATTCTCATCTCGCACTCGCTTCCATTCGCGGACTAGCGATAAATTTGAACTTATATTAGCAGTTAAAATGCTCTCTTGGAAAACACAAGTTTCGCCTTATACTAATAATGGTAATGGTCTCTTCATCTTTCTCTCTGCGTATTCTCCCCCCCCCTTCCCGCCATCCTCGCCCCAGCTATTACTTTTTCGACCCGTTGTTCCGACCCGTTTCCATCCCCCTTTTCGCCCGCGACTTCGTCAACGACGGTACTATACAACTAGGATAATAAATATTGCCGCAAAATTATTTGCTACATTCGTCCCAAATAGTCAACAAGTCCGACTGCCCCGGAGCATCGCGGTTTTTGGTCTCCCCGTTTACGTCACACCGACCGAGTCTCTCTCCCTCCGACGATCTCTATCGCGCTCACTTTATAAAGAAAGGTGTAACTTTAAACGCATCGACGCCATCTTCTAAGGCGACCAACTAGTTACTCTTATTTCTTATAGTCACCTTATAACTGTGCCAACGAGCGTTCGCGCAAACTCTCGTAATATCAAAACTTAGAAGCATGAGAAATATAAAGGAATAATAAACTTACCTCTAAAGAAAGGAGCGTCAACGGATGCAGATTTCAAAAACAAAAAAAAAAGATATCAGCACTGATTCTGATGCAAATTTCTCAAGTAAAATTACAAGAGAGTCTGAAAGAAATCTGAAGGATTAGCGATTAAGTTCAACTGTAATTTCACTTATTTCCTGTTCTTTTATACGAACTTAATTTCAGACGATCTGACGGGAGATCTATCAAGTGTTTTCTAAAATCATCTTTTGGAGCGCGTTGAACTCTCGCGGATAATCGTCGATAGCTCGTCGCGTGCTACGAGAACTTCGCGCGACCCCCCTCCCCCTCCCCCCGTCTTCCCAAGTTCGAGCTCAAAACCGCCGCGATCTCCGAGTAGTCTGATTTCACCGGTAATCATCCGATGCCAATCGCACGCGCGCGCGCAAACGTTGATGCCAGTTGTGTGTGTAAGTAGTAATAATATCTCTCTTCCCCTTTCTCCATTCGTGTGTTTGAGTATACATTAATATCCGTTCTCGGTACCGCGCGCGGGTGCCCCTCAATCGTCCCAGGTGGGGAAGCTATCCTGATCGATGAACAGGTTCCTGCCCGTCGTCGTTGACGCGGTTTGGTCGATGCGGCGGCCGGTCCCCGCCTGCCGCCCCGTTTGCCTCTGGCCGCCGATGCCGATGTGCTGCTGGTTCGGCGTGCCGCCGAAATTCGTGCTGCCGAACACCGGCTGGCCGAACGCGTCCAGCTGCTGGCTCTCGTAGATGCTGTGGTCCGGCGAGTACTGCTTCTGCTGCTGCCGATGGTGATCGGTCACGGTCAGCTCGATGTTGCCGGCCGTGCCGCCGACGACGATATCGTCGACGTTCTCCGACGCGTTCGCCTCCTCCAGGCTACTGTTCTTGATACCGTACTGAAAGTACATGATGAAACCTGACGGCAGATACAAGGAGCAATGTTCAATTCGACTGATCGACTGAGATTCGCAGGAAGAAAAGTAAAAATGTTATCGTTTTTTCATAAAGACTCGGACAGAATCGGATGAAGGAAATAGATATAATCTAAGCGAGATCGCCTTTTTTGCTCACAAATATCTCTGTGTATAGTTTGTATAATAAAATTTAATATAATAATAATAATATTTAATGTGCATGTAAGTTTGTACCGAGAATCATCCAGACCGTGAATCTGACCAGAGTGAGGATGCTGAGCTTGAAAATGAGATAAATGTTGACGGTAACGGCGATCGCGGGGACAAAGGGTAAGCCCGGCGTCATGAACATTACGCTGCTCCTGAAACAAAAAGGGAAATGTCGGGAATTAGAGCTTAGATCATTAAGACCATTTCACGATCGGGTACGCTTCGCAGTTGGCGAGTTACGCGAGATTGCGGATTACGATCGGATTATCCTACCTATTTTGCGGCTTTCTACTGATGACGAGAAGTATACCGATTATGGCGAAGAGAAATAAGAATAGTAATATCGTTGTAAATGTTCCCATGTTACCTGAAAGAAGAGAAGAGCGATGAAATATATCGATCAAGATTTGTTTACAGCGACTCGTGAAATTAATCGGGTAATTGAAAAATTTTTTTTTAAATTATCTTGATACTCATTACATTTCACAAATCAATCCTTTTAATATTACGAGCTGAACATTTATTTACACTTTTCTTTCCTCTTATTATATCAAAATATTTTATGGAACATTTGATCAATTTCACAAATAGCTGTATGCGTTAATGTATTAATAGCGGCGTAAATTCCTCACCCATCCCACAGACGATAATTATGTCAAAAATAAGGATCAAGAGATATAAGATCCCAACGAGCTTCATGACGTAACGTCCTGACGCCTCTGTAGCAGGACCTCTGTCCACCCACGGGAATATAGCAGGACAAAGATATTGCGCCGCCTACGAAATGTCACAATTTGTTAGTGACACACGATAATCGCAATGTCCTTCGGCTAAGAAATATTTTATGGACGATATTTTACGTATAAAAATTAAAACATAATTCAATTCTGAAAAATGTAATAATATAATAATAAACCTAATCGTTAAGATTTCATTTATTACATCTCAAACGTCAATTAATTAAAAGCATCAGGACTTTAAATCTTAAAACTTAACTTTAAATCTTAAAAAAAAAACTAGAATTTCAATTGTGTCAAAATTTTAAAAGTAGAGTAAAGAAATTTTTTAAATTTCTAAAGTAAATTTGGTTTCGAAAATCTGTCATTTTTAAAATAATTCTGATTTTTCTTTTATCGAATTGAATAAATTTGGCTTCGAAAATCTGTCATTTTTTAAATAATTGTGATTCTTCTGTTATCAAATTGAACCTAGCAAAGTAAAGACATTCATACTCTGTGTAAAATGTTATGTAAAATTCTAACGTAAAATAAAAAGATCATGTACTTGGATAAATAACAATCAGGAAGAATCCTATCGTTTCTCGCATGAATACGATTGGGGTGACCATTATTCTGCCGAACCATCGCTTTTCGATTACTGATCACTACCTGCAGCCGACGTTGTAGATAATTTAACGGTGGCCCTATGATCGGCGTGTTTCCGGGATACTGATGAGCACTACCGCAACTCGAGGCGGCCGCGGCCGCGTGCACGCTGCCGTAGAATTTGTTCTCCGTTCTGTCGCTGACGAGGTACTGATCGTCCTTACCCAATCCCACCTCGTCCTCCTCGCCGCCGTACGTGTCGTCCGAATCCGGCGACGAGCTGTTGCATCTCCTCACCCGCCTTACCTGGAACGGCGCGACGCTAATTTCAAAATTGCGCAATCTCGCCGCAATCCGTTCCTCAACATCGGGAATTGGATCCCGCTACGCGGTCGATCTAATTTTGTCCGTCGACGCGGAAAAAATTCCGTAAAAAGGGAATAAAAATTGGATGATGAATTTATCTTAAAATTTCCATCCATTATCTTAAAATTTTGTAACAGTAAAAGAAACAAATCTTCTTGCTCTTGCCTGACAAAAAAAATGTTTTACTACGTCAAAAAATATGAGGGAAAGAATTCAGGAAGAAAGAAAGGGAGAAAAATCTTGCGAGAAATCCCTTAAAAATGACATCTGAGGCGAATGTACGCTGAAAATGATCTACTTCGAAGGAAACGCCGAGCCACAGATGCGCGTGCAGAGAACTGCCGAAACGGAAAACGAAAAAACGTGTAGAACTAAAGAAATCGAGAGGAGAAAATCTCGTTTTCTCGACGAGACGAGAGAAGTTTCTTCAATTACGCGGCGATGGAGGCGAACGACGCGGGGCCGTTTCGTCGTTTCTTCTTTTTTCTCCTTTTGACGCGCAAACGCGAACACGTCTCACCGTGACACGCTGCCCGTTGTTGGTGGTCGTGAGCTCCGACTGGGACGTCTGTACCGAGTTCAACGCGGTCACAAGCTGATCGGGCCTGAGCTCCTTGCCGTAAGTCACTTGGCCGTTCCCCTGCGTCTCCTTCGTGGGCGACCGACACGGCGTCCGCAGGCTCTGCGGCAGCAATTCGATCAGATTCGTCGAATGCGGCTGGTACCGCAATATCAGCACGCACGTGGACACCAGAGTGTACGCCAACAGGGTACCTAATGAACCGCGAACGAGAACATGTAGCGCGGTCCCAGTACTTGCTATTCCATTATATTTTTAATATTTGACGAACGCATGCAGGTGTGTCGAACGCAACAGAACGCTTGGAAACTGAATTATAAATCTGACATGCAGGAGACAAAAGTTTTTTTAAATCCAATCATTAAAAATAATATTATATCATCAAAATTTTACCCCGCGTAATTTTACGTTAGTAGTTTTTCTGGATGGGTCGATAATTAAAAAATGTGAACAAGAAAAGTTGTATATTCACGCCACTCGTCTTCATCTCTCCATTCTTGTTTCATAACACTAAACTACCGGAAATCGTTTTAGATAACCGTCTTACCGATCGACATCATTTCCACCAACACCTCCAGCTGGATCAGCAGCGCAGCGAAAGCGGCGCATATGCCGGAAGTTAGAGTCGCAATTGCGGGAGTGCCAGTCGCCGGCCAAACTTGGCTGAGGCTCCTGCGGGAAGCGAAACGTGCGCGTTAAACGGTAAATTCCGAGTTACATGTCTCGGCCGTTCTTAACAATTCCCCTCATTGCCGTTTCGGCATCCGGCGTTACCCCTTTGCCTTGATCTCGATCATTACCGGAATATAAGGCCATCCTGTGCCATCGCGTAGACTATTCTAGGCATCGGAAACATGCTGCCGAACATGGAGACCGTCAGGCCCGCCAGCGCACCGACCGCGACGATGTACTTGCACTTGTAGGCCCCGACTTGGCCGAACATCTCCACCAGCGCCGAGTCCTGATCGACCTGATCGTACGGAACTGAAACATGAGGCACGCGAGTACGTGCTGAGAACACTGCAACCGACAGCCCTTCCGTCCCGCGATACCGCCGTAAATTCGAGTTTCATCCGGCGATCAATGTGTGCCGTCAGTAACGATTTTACACGAACTGCATTAATAATACACCTGGTACAATAGCCACAGTAATAACGCCAAAGTTTTAACAAACTCTCATTTACGTTACGAACAAGTTTCACAATAATTTTATTCTCCGATGTTTCGCCCAGCGCCGTTAACAGTTCGGAGTCGTGATAAAATTGATCCCGCGATAACGAGATGGAAGCGGCCTTCAATTCGCCGATAGCCTCAAAAAGGCACGTAGCCCTAAAGCCGCTTTGCGTCATCGTCAACAGTTATTTGAATTTCGAGAGGTGGAAACGCGAAAACACAGGCGGAACACGCAGAATCGAGGGGCGAAGCGGGGCACGTCGCCCCTGTTCGCGTTCGCGAGGGGTGAGTGAGCGCGCGTATTTCCATTAATGGAGGTCTAACAAACGATCGGCGGCCCGTTGTTTAATGGTCTACTCACCAATCAGTGTCAAGACCATGCTGCTGGTGACGTAAGCGACGAGAATTATGATCAACGACGAGACGATGGCGAGGGGGATACTCCTCTTCGGATTCGTCGCTTCTTCGCCGGTGGTGGCTATTATGTCGAAGCCGATGAAAGCGTAGAAACACGTCGCCGCGCCGGTGAAAACCTGAGGGTGGAAGAGAGAGAGATTCCATTTTTCATCGCGTCTCAAACAGAATATATAATATAGTCGCGACGTAGGTTCTGACCGCGGACACCAAAGTGCGATAAAACGGAGCGAAAATAAGATGTCTGACGGAAATTCGAGATGGAAAATCGTGTTACACGTTCAAACAGAGCTGCGGCCCTTTACGTAAATGTCATAGCACTTTTATCGAATTCCTGCGCGGTAAAATTTACCGGTAGAATTCACTTTGTATTGTAAGTGATGATACACGCGGATACTCGCGTCGACATATACCGTTTGATTCAGTAACTACGCCGATTATGGCACGTATAAAGTATAATTAATTGGAGATTAACAAGAATAGCCGATTGTCCGGCGTGAGTCGCTTTGTCAGCTACCGTCGAAGTCCCCGCCCTCAATCGGATTTACTGTAAAAGTATCGCCCTTTGGAGGCAAAATTAAAGCGTTTACATATTTCACGTCTGCTCGACGTGCTTATGAATTGTTAATAAGCTCCGTGAGAGAGAGAATAAGATTAGGACGGCGTTGCTTAAATAATTGGCGTAAAGCCGATCACTGCACAGAAGAAGGTTACTTATTCATTCGCGTTTCGATGCACTCGCGCATCTGCTTCAGCGAATAAATAAAAAGACATCGCAGAATATCGCGATATAATGATCGCGATGTTAAGAAAAACATAGATTATTCGGATAACGTCACTTTTTTTCTATCGGTTGATTTATCCGAAAAGAAGTAAAAAAAACGAAGGAAATGGAAACGAGAGAGAAGGAAGATCAAAAGGTCAACGGATGAAAACGCTGAAATTTAAATATTCCCCGAGAGCGTGGGATCGGTCGAGAGAGATTATGCGGTGGAGCTTCGGGTAAGGTTGACACATGAATTTTCGCGAACCGGTGGGTAGGGGTGGAGGCGGTTGTGTAATCGGTACACCCCAATTCCGTCACGTCCCCTACACGTTTTCGTCGCAGCGCCCACGCGCGGACGTGTTGCACAAAAGCGTGGTTAATAATCGCGATTAAAGGTCGACCCTGTCCGCCCGAGACGCGCGAAAACTCGCCGCAAGCACCCCGTTCGAATACTATAGCAGAACAATGTGAAATCCACGAGTTTCAGCCCCTCGAAATTCCACTAGTCAAGGGCAAAGAAATCGGGATCGTGGCGGCCGGTATACCGAACAATGCCGAACGCTTGTCTCGAAAGGCGCATATTATCGGTACGCGAGTTTTGTTGCGGAAACGAAGGAATTATAACGAAGGCGCGCGCGCGAACGACGACGTTACGCTCGAACTTTCTTCCGAACTCACGGAAACCGGCGCGGCGTCGCCGTTGTTCTTTGACGGAACTTGCCTTTCAAGTTAATTATCCGTGCTAAAAACGTTCTACTTCCGTGCGAAGGGTATAGAGACAGAGAGAGAGAGAGAGAGAGAGAGAGAGAGAGAGAGAGAGAGAGAGAGAGAGAGAGGAAGGAAGGGGGAGGGGCTGCGGGAGATTGAAGTTTTCAAATCGCTCGCGGTGATATGCAAGACCGTGCACCGCACAACTTCGCTGCAAAGGCATCCCGAGATTCCCGAGTATTGAAAAATGTAGATCTCGCGTGTTGGCGGAAATACAAAGAAACTATACAAGCAAAATTATATCGCGCGCGCGATGCGGCGCATAGTGTGATACTTTCGCAATTTCAGTGGAAAAAATTATTGCGCCAAAGTATATTTCTTGCTTCTGCACTATATATTTGAATAATAAAATAATATAGTTTAGAATATATTTCACCGTTTTTTGGAATAATTTAAATTTTTAAACGGTAAACGTTTCTTAATATACCTAATATATTATACCTATATAAATATACTTGTAACATATTATACCGCATTATACCCGTATCGGGATTATTTTTATGTTAAACCTAGTCCCTTGGGCTGTACACAATATGCAAAATTTTTTGCACCAATTTGCGAATTCCATTAATATAAATTATAAATGCTTAATATACAGTCGCTGTATTAATATTTATACATGTATAATAAGTTAGGTATATTATAAAACGTACCGATTAATTTAAAAATTTAAATTGTTTCAAAAAAAAAAAAAAATTATATTATTTTATTATTCAAGTCGTGCAGAAGCAAAAAAACCAATATACTTTGGTGTTATAATTTTTTCCACCTAGATTGCGAAAATATCACACTGTACGCGGCGTTTCGAGTTAACCCTAAATACATAATTTTCCGGTTCTTTGTTAAACACGATAGATCCTTCATGTCTGACTTTTGATCACTTTTACAAAAGTTTATAAAAATTAATAAGAGTTTCTTACATATACTTTAACATCATTAAAAAGTATTTGTAAGATTGTTATAAAAAAATTACATACAAATAAATTAATATTATTATTAATTATATACAGCCAACACGTGCGTAAGGGTTAATTATGCGAGAAGAAAATGTTTCACTTTCATAGAGGATAAAGAGTAAAACGAAGTCGACGGGATTTTAAGGCGATGTACGAGCGGTAAAGCGTAGGTCGTTGAAGGAGAACACGGGGAAAGGCTCCTAAGGAAAGTCGTGAATCTTTCAGCGGGACAGCTGGCCCTGCTGTGGCTCTTGTGCACACGTTATCCTTTCTATCCTTTACATCGCACGGGGCTTGACTATCTCTAAATATTGCTTCCCGTCGGAGAATAATTTGTTTCGTTTGCATGTTACAGATAATTTGAGAAACCTGAGGGAAAAAATATAATGAAAATATTAAAACTCGCTTTAACTAATACAACTTGATAGCTAATATAACTTTATAAATGAAGCGAGTTTTAATATTTCGACTTAGGAATGTTGTAACGCGCGATACAAGGGAAGTGAGAAAAATCATTTTAATTTTAGTTTACATACTGAATCCTAATCGCCGTGCTCTCCCAAGAACTAGGAAGTATCTCTGTTTTTCAGTTTAGCTGCGGAGAGGTAGATTCAAGATGGAAGGGAAAACAGTAATTTATGGTCGGCCATTGTCGAGAAATTAGTGCCTTTTCCAAGTAAATTACGCTCCGTTGAACGCTAAGTCGCCATAAGCAAGTAAATTAAAAAATGCTGTAACGAGGCGCGCCGTTATGCATTAACAGACCGGCGATCTCATTCTTCTCGTCGACGGGACTAACCTTCATCTCGCAATTTCAGCGGATATAAACTATTTAGAGCGGATCCCTCGTCGAAATATTTTAAAAAGAAGAAGCTTTACGATTCGAGCGCGCATTCTCCGCGCATTTCAACGGAATTCCATCCTGCATTTTGTGCTTTTGTCTTCGAAAACTGGAACCCCCGACGTAAATTTGGTACGTAAAAAATCATTCCACGGCAAATGCTTTCACCGGGTAATGCTTTCGCTGCAAATGCGGCTATTATTCTATATAAAACGCAGAATATTCGTGAACAAAGAGGGATAAATAATTTCGAGGCAAACTTCACATTTTTCTTGAAAGATATCGCGATATAGAGGTGCGGCTGGAAACGTATATTGCACCGGAAGGAAAGGAATAAATCTTCAGAGAGGGCCGAGCACACCAGAAAGCCGGCGCGCATCCTCGTATTACATTTCGTCTGATTGATTTATTCTCCGGTTTCGACGGGAATTGCGCCCGCAAATGGAGCGCTCAAAGATCGGTAGAGCCGCAGCCGTAAACAATAAACAAGCGTATCCTGAACAGAGGAAGGAAGGAGCGAGAGAAGGCGGAAATGGGAAAATTATCAAGTGTTCTCGAAATAGAAGAGAAAGATCGTTATCAAAAATAAAACCGTGTCTTAAAAAATTAAAAACTATAACGAGTCAAATAGGATGCGTTGTGGAAAGATTATCAAAAATAAAACCGTGTCTTAAAAAATTGAAAACTAACGATGTCAAATAGGATGCATTGTGGAAAGAAATCGATAAATTACAAGTACAATTCTTCCGATACAACTCTTTTAAAATAAATTTCACGAAATATGCTTATGTGTATCAGATATACACATGTTATTACGTTGAATAATGCATGACGACTCGTTTATTTATAGTGACGTATCTTATGTGAGAAGTATCCGTGATTTCGGACCACACCGCCGCATAGCATTACATTTTTCCCCGTATCAGTGGATATTTATGAGAACCGCGAAAACGAGAGCGCTTTATCCGCAGGAAATATGTGTAGCGCTCCCATCAACCGGGGCATCGTATGTCAAAGAGGCCTGGGGAATCTCTCCCGCGCTCGCTGAACGGAATTACCGTCATGCAGACGCGGTGTCCTCGAGGGGATTTTTCCATCTTTTCACATATCCGCGCGGCCGCGATACATCTTTTTTCGTACGCGGGTTCTAACTTCGGCGAAACGTAACCAGTCCCCCGCGCCGGCGAAATTATGCCACGTTCCCGGCCGGAATTCAGATTGAGGATGTACGTGACGCGCGTCCCCGGATTGGCCTTAATGGACACGGCAAGGGTTTACAGACGCGGAGTTTCGCAAAGAAACCGGAGTTGCGCTCCCGCTCTTTGCGGCCCCCTATCCTTCTCCCCCAGCTCTCTCTAACCATAGAATGCCTACATCTTCCTGAAACCCGGCACCCTGGACTCTGCGGAGCACCTCTAAAAGGGTCTCGCCCCTTTGTTTCCAGTTTGCGAAACGGCGGCGGCGACCGGATTCCCGCGGCGCTTTTCCACGACGTCGATCTTGTGCTAATATTTGACGGACCGAAAGACAAATTGTCACAGACGCGGGGGGAGGGGAGGAGGCGGAGTCGCAGTTTACGCGTAATTTGACAGAAAGAAAATCAAGATTACGCCGCGTGGACTGTAATGACTTCCGATTTCTCCGCCAGCACACTGCCAGCTGTAAAAAAGTAAAGACATCTTTGCGGCATGCAATCTAATAGAATTCTCTTCTATCTCACGTATAGCGTAACGATAATAATTGAAATATGTAATAAAGATTTGTTAAATTGACAATTCAATACGGATGTAACATTCGATATTGTAAAAATACCTTTTTACAATTTATTTTTATTTTCTCTAAATATATATTTTATATCTTTTATATCTTTATTATATCAAGTATCTCTTGTATCCTTTTTTTTAAGCCGGCAGCCAGCACGTATATTTCTCGTGGAGAAAGAGAGACGCTCGCGTATCACGCAAAAAATTGCGAGTCATTAATTTTAGCGACGTTTCAGCGACCGCGTCGTCGGTAATACGATCACGGCGATATAAGGTCGATCCGTCGTCGAGAGATTAAACGGCTACGGCAAGCCCCGGCCTGTCGTGAACAGGATGCTCCGCAAACTGTGTGACACGTAGGCATCGCGATCCGTAAAAGTCAAAGGTGCCCGCCCCGGCACGTGCCAACCGACGGCGCCGACAGTCGGTGGTGGACTATCGATGCTACTGGGAAAGACCAAGTGAACGGACGTAGAGATAATTCCCGGAGAGATGATTCTCTCGTCGCGAATTATCGTTAGTAATGCATGCGGCGGCAACAATATCGATGGAAAAATGCATGGGAGCGCATAAGGTTTACGCAAAAGGTACGCGAAAAATTCGCTTGGAATCACGAAAGGTCATTAGATAATTGGGTCGTTGTACAAGCCGGTTAAACGTTTGCGCACGCGGAGTCGCGGACTCGAAAAAAAAAAACCCCCCGAATCACATTTATCGATTTGTCAGACGAATTTATCGAATAAGCGCGCCACACCGCGCACCGATCATTATTTCACGTGAATCTCTTCGAAAATTCGAACGGATTGCTCTGCTTTACGTGCGAGTGCCCCACATTTCCTCGTTAGAGCACTATACTCACTTTTCTTGATATCCTAAATTGACGGGAACATCATTAATTACGGCCTCCGCCGAGATTCGACTCGTTAATACGAGCAATAAAACACTACGCGAAGCTACTCCATAAAACAAATGAATTTCTAGCCCTCCTTTCCTCCCCTCCCCCCTCTCCCGTCGACTGCTCGGTCACCTATTCATTTTAATTCGAGTGTGACATCTCGTGTCATATGGCGATCGTTGACGGGGTGGAATGAAGCCGGGAAAGGGAGAGGGGAAAAAAAAGAGCTCGACGTTTTGTACACTGCGCGAAATAATGGCGCGGGCTGCTGCGGTTTGTTCCGCCACTCGAGACGCGCGCAAAAATGGTCGATATTGTGTACGAATGCACACAATATACGCGTTGTCATATTACAGCATCGCGCGCGTCATCGCAGACAACGTCGTTCTCCCCCGGATCCCATAACGCCGGCTACAGTCGATCACAAAAGTGGATAACGTTATCGTCGTTATCTTATCGGGAGAAAAATGTCACGTTATCGCACGGGAGCGGCGCAACATTTCAGTAAATTTCAGTAGCATCAGAGTACAATAGATGTATACCCGTATTGATCACATTTATTGTAATAATAAATAAATGATAAGTAAATTATAAAAATATATAATACGCTAGAAAATACAAAACAATTTATTATTTTAATCAGAACAAATAGTTACATTTAAAGAGCGTCATATTTTAAATAGTCGTATTTATAAATATTATTTGTAAAAATTTTAGAGAGAGGAACAGGAAACATATTTTTAACGTAAATAGAAAATCACAAATCTAAAAAAGTAAAGAGCAGAGTGAGAGAGAGACGCGTGTTATTTAAGCTTGGAGAGTTACTTATCGTCTCGTATCATAATAAAATGAAAAATCTCTCTCGTGTTAAAGGGAATTTAAATTGTCTGATGCTGGTGCAGCAAACGCGCGTGGATCCGCTCTATCGTGAAACACGTCGAATTTTCTTCAACAACAGGGCGCGATATAAACGCCAGCGGCGGAAGAGAAGAAGAGAGAAAGAAAGTACGATGGAAAGAGAGAGAGAGAGAGAGAGAGAGAGAGAGAGAGAGAAAAGGGGAGGGAGAAATCCGCTCGGGACGAAACGCCGGGATTGTCGGATCTGTTTTTGCAGGCAACCTGGTTCGGACAGGTTTTTAATTTATTTCCCTTGGGATCGCGCGCGGAGAGTACGAATTATTATTCTTGGCGCGGCGGAAACGGGGACGGTCCGAGCACTCTCTTCCACCCCTGTCCCTTCAGCCTCGTCGATGCGTATGCACCTTTTGCATATCGCCGCGAGTGCCCTCGCTAATGGTTCACATGTTACGTTACTTGAGCCTTCGAGCAATTTTTCGGTCATATATATGCGACACGCGAATCTCGCTATTACATTTATTGCATTAAGTGTAAAGGTTCTAATTGTAAGCACCATTGTACTTACAATTAGTAACTTTGTATTCAATTTCATCATAATTTCAATTCCTCCCTTTGCACCTAATTGACGTAATAAAGAAGACTTTTCTCATTGCTGCACGTATAAAATATAATTTATACATTTCACTTTGTTTTTATATATAGATATACAGAAGATAGAAATTACATGATATTTAATACGCGAAAATACATCCTCCGGGGTCAATTATCGTACTATCGATTTACGCTAAATTACGTTAAGTCGAGTCGCATTGCCCTCCGCTATCTGAAAACGGCTCTGCAGATAACCCGCGTTCTGCGCATCCCCCGAATACGTGCAAACGCATTCGAAAACTCGAGCGATGCGGACTCTCGTTCTTCACACGCGCGCCGAGGGGATTCACTCTCTATTTCTCCCGACACTCCCGACAGTCGTCCGAACGACGGTCCCGATATCCCAGGACTCTATCTCGCGCTATCGATTGCCGCAGGCATCGCCGTCGTCGTTGCCGCGTCGCGTCGCGTCGCGTCGCGTTCTATTCGCCTCTCTCCCTACATCCATGCCCCGCGATACGAGGTGCATTTTCCATCGTCGTTTTTTTGCAACCTCCTCGCCCGATACATCTGTCGGACCGACTCGGTGCAACAAGTATGTCATTGTCCCGCATAACTGTCATAAGCCGCGGGCAGAGGATCCCTCGACCGGACTTCGGCGGCGACCTTGTGCCTCGAGCGATTGGAATTTCGCTCGGATTCTCCAGGATCTTCCCTTTTCATTACGCGTTATGACATTTGGATTTATTCATTACGACGTTTGTCTTATTCAATAAGACTGGCGCCAGAAAACAATGAGTCTAATGATTATATATATATATGTGTGTACCTAAAAGGGTGAATTTCTTCCAAATATTTCCTTTTAATATTGTATATTAAAAGGAAATATTCGGTATTTAATCATTCGGTATTTAATCATTGATATTTCAATGTATTGTACAGTTTTGGACAGATCGATTGCGGCACTTTTTTTTATCGGTTTCTAGTATATATTTAATATATATAATATATATTTTATAGGTAATTAATATTTTGCAAACGCGAACCATGCTGTACTATCTTTAGTCTAGAGATAGTATAACACTATAATCGTGGTTCGCAATTGCAAAATATTAATGCGTTTTGAAAAAAAAATGTCGCCACCGATCTGTCCACGACTATACATAATGGTAATTTTTATTATTAATTTTTCAAAGTATTGTATGTATGTACGTATGCTAATTTTTATTATAAATTTCCTGTGTTGTCGAGAGGAAACGTTTATTGCATATCGCGCCAGCATAAAAATGTTTTCAAAAGTTGGCTTTGTCAACGATATTCCTTTCTCTCTTTATTCTGAAACCGATGTCCTCTTAATGCCTTAAACAAACATCAAAATATCGCGGTACGCGACTAACGCGACTGCGGTCGCTGGCACGGGGCACGAGCGCCAAGGGCGGAGGACGGAAGTGAGGCCGGGTCGGACCTATAAAAGCAGCTGGAAAAAGACACGCCGAGAGGGCTTCAGCCGAGAGGGCTTTTTCATCCTGTCTCCAACCTCTCCATTGCTTTTTTCTTTTCGCTATCCGCGCTGAGAACCGTGCGACAAAGGCCGCTGGCGTTAATACCGCGGCATTACGAATCACCATTGTTTAATAACCCTTTGTGCTCGGAATTATTTATATGAAATTTGTAAAGCGAATGAGCGAGGTCCCGTTTCGAAACAAAATTGCAAAAACTCTCACGTTTTAATTGACCTCTTATCGAATTTACATCTTTCTCCCCCCGAGTTGGATGCTCCTCGTTATCTTTTAATTCGTGCTACCTTTTACTCGTGCGCGACTAAATTTTACGTCAGTGCCGTATTATTTGTAATATTTTGTCAGTTTTTATTTAATCTTATATGCAAAACTAGACTTCTCTTCGACCCTGTCGGTTGTACACGCTGCACTTACCCCGCTCCAGCCATAGGGGAGGAAGCCGCTATGCTCGGACCAATTGTTGGAATCCACGTAAAACATGCCCGCCGCCATGACGAAGACCCAGACGGCGAGATTGATGGCGTTCAGCACGTTGTTGAACACCAGCGACTTCTTCACCCCTGCCGCCATTAGCAGCATCATGAGTATCGTGATGACGAACGCGATAAAATCTGGCGGCCGTCCTGAAACAAACGTGATTCGAAATCTCAGTGAAAATTCATCAAGAATGCATGATCGTCTTGTATGTAAACGGTGAACATGTTAGTCGGGGAATACGAGAATATCTGGCGACCATCTTAGAAACAGCCGTGACTCGGAAATCGGCCAAGATTCATCGGAAATGCAGAATCGTCCTACATAAACGGCGAATCCGTGGATAGGAAAGAACACAATTTGCAGGTGAAACGAGACGATTAGCTTAAAAATGCTATTGTTCTTAAATAAAATATCTTCCGTTTTCATTAACAAAGTTTAATTGCTAATTTACCCCAATTCTTATAGGGGCTAAAATAGGAAAACTGAAAAACGTTGGCTGTGTGAACGTAACATATATTTCACGTCAATAACAGACGTCGAACATGCCAATTACAAACCGACGAACATGCATTCCGTAACAAATCGACGGAAATATAACATCTAGGCAATAATCAGAATTATTCAAATCATTATCGAGCTACCCAGTATAGAGGCTACATAAACATATAGAGTACATGAATTTCTTGATGCGGCCAAATATTTCGCGATAAATGTGCTTTAAATAAAAGAAAAAGATAAAAAAATCACTGCGAATAAATGTAATCGTAAGATCAACAAGCCAGTTACTTTAATAATTCATGAACAATACATATTGACTCCAATTCACAATTATTGTTAATTTTCGCGGTGTATTATTTTAGTTATTAAGCGATTAAAAAAGATTCAGTACAGTCAAAACTATCTATAAAAAAATACATTATAAAAAAATCTCGCGATTGAAAAAAATTCAGTATAGTCAAAACTATCTATAAAAAATATAGTTGAAAAAAATCTCGCTTTTTTTATTGGCTTGACATATTAAATTATTTATTAACTGAACATCTACACTGTTAAATCTAATGTCAAATTTAACCTTACTTAGGTCGCCATTGCTCCTACTAAATAAATAATTATTTTGAACTAACTTTAAAGCAATGGAATTTAACCCAAATTTGGATTAAATTTAAACTGTTAAATTATTTAACTCCATTGTTTTAATTAGAAATAACTAAATTTAACACTATTATAGATTTAACAGTGTATATTTTGCTTGTCTTTGAATGGAACATTAAAGGATCTAATGGATCTAATGAATCATTAGGCTTGGCCTTATTCAAAATTTTATTTATCATGCTAATTAAGTTCGCATTAGATCTTTTCTTTTACTATCACCACTTCCGCTCTTTAACGCGCGGACAAGAATCCCGAGGCCAACAGGACTGAATTAACGGATCGTTAATTCTATCGACATTTCGTTGCGGGGAGACACGTGTGAGCGGAGAAACTTTCAACCGGGAACCAGCTAATGGCATCGACGAGCAATCGTTACGATATGTTTCAAACGGCAAAAACCGTTGTATTCCCTAACGACGGAAAAAGGTACCTAAATGCCCGGGATTCTTTACTCGTCAAATTACTCTCGGATCTCCACCCCTGCGCTTCGTCCGAGCACGACATTCCCGTGACAGCCTTAAACGCGGGAAGAAACCCCAGGCGGAAATTCTTCAGCGAGCGAACAACCGACCGTAATTCATGCGGTCGGAGATAATCGGGCGATTCTCTCGAGAGGAAAAAGCCAGACGACTTTTTTTTCTTTTTCCAGAAGCACGCGCGCGAAAAGCCGCTCGCCGCTTTCATTCAAGCATTTATTCATAGTTGGAGTCGCGGAAAAACTTAACTCCGTCGGAAAAAGAATCGAAAAAGAAAGAAAGCGGCGTGAGTTAGAAATAAATTCTGCGAAACGAATGAATTCTCGGTATATTCGGGGGGTATAGAATAAATTTCCGCCAACTTGTATCGGCGGCCTCTATCTCTACCTTTTGCGGGACAAAAAGCGGCCACGTTACAGCGGTGGTCAACCGTATTTCCGGTTCACCACAGGACGGTTTCACCACAGTTACTTAAATCGCGCCAGAAGAAGTAACTCCTGCATCGCGATGAATAAAGATTGCCGCATTATTTAAAACGCAAGAAAACAATCTGCTCGCGGGAGATTTTCTTGAGAGAGAAAGATACTCAAGCGAGATTGCTGATTAATTTGTCCCGACACCGCCGCGGCAGCTTCCAAAGCCCCTCTTCTTCATCGGGTCGCGCGAGGCAAAATAAATCCGCGTTATCGCGTGGCAGCCGGCGCTATTTCTTTTCTACGTTCGGCCGACGAGAAAAGAATCGGATGCGTTCGCATACCGCGACCTCGATTCGCCAGTTCTGCCGCCGATTCATTTCCTTTGCATCGTTTCGATGCATCGGTGCTATACGCGTGTGCAAACGAAAGGGGCAATTTTCGGCCGAATCAAACGGTTTTGATCGCTCAAGCGATCCGCTCGATCTCGTACGTCGGCATACGCGCGCATATGTACGCAAATAGGTCTACAATCGTCGAGCGATGTGCAAAATGCATTGCCGGTTGAAAGACCGTGATCAAACACACGAACAGGTACGGGGGAGGTAAACGTAAATACAGATGTTAACGACAAACACTCGGCGAATTTCGCGGTGTAAATACGAAATAATCGAAACGCTAATCCTCTTTAGAATATAGCGCGATATCGATTCCAAAATATTTAAGCGTTAATTATTATTGCGAATAATGTTATATATCTTGAAAAACGACAAAAATATGTTAAGTAAATATCTATCTGTCCGCTAATTGTTAAATGTGTCAGATGCGTCCCTGAGCGCACAGAAGTGAAAGCTCGCGAATGTGGCCAACTTTAATTACTTATTATAATATTTAAAAAATTATTACAACTCTCGACGTTCATTCAAGTGTAATTACTCTCACTCTCGATTTTCGTCGCCTCTCATTAAATCCTTTTGAATGACGTTCTGCGTGAAAAGATTTAAATGCACGACTGTAGGCGGGATGAGCTTTGAAAGTCCAACATCTACGATCTAAAAAGAGAGGAATCTTTTGCAGCGGGATTTCGAAGCTTAGGGAAAGTTGCTCATTACGAAGCGAGTCAATCCGAGTATCGCGATCCGATGCAATTGTGCTCGACGTGGAAACCTCGGTAGAGAAGACGCGCGAGTAGTATTTAATTCCATGGATCAGACATGACTCGGTAACGAAGAAACTTCCGTGTCTGCATCAGCTCCGCTGCAGAAACGAGGGTGCGAAGGTGAGGTAAGAATGCGCAATCCGCGCGCGAGGAATGAGGAATGCCGATCACGAACGCAAATGACGATATAGAGGGGGAGGGGGGGGGGTGGAATCGCGGAATTTATCTCCACGAAATGGAGTGCCATGCCTGCACGTCGGTCCTCGATATCGAGCGGCCTCGCGGTCGCGGCGCGTTGCGTCCGCCAGACACAACAGTCGATAACGGCGCGGATAAGACGGGGATACGTTGCGTCGTCAGACGATGGGGGCTTGTTTTTCATTCTTTCACGGGCAGGGGATTGTCCTTCGAGAAAAATATTTTTCCGCGTGTCTGCCTTGAATCTCGATACCGCCCTGTTGATTTTCCCGTCTCGCGAGTTGCAATTAATAATCGAGAAATGTTGAATTGCAAACACGAGTATCACTCTCGATACCTCTCAAACGCTTCCTGCAAACGGTCGGCGTAAGCGTTAAAGCATCAGTGTGTGCCTCAGTAACTGTGACACTCTTCGCATAAGCACGACCGCATTATTGGATAAGTTCAATGATACCGTTATCTACAACGACGCCGTCGGGCATAAGCCGCGTTGAAACTAGAGTCCTGATTAAGTATTCCCCTTAACTGCCAGTTAACGATCGCGAGAACAGCGTCGGGAATAATTTTACGAGGCACCGTCGTGTGCAAGCCGTATCTCTTGCTCTGCGAGAGGCTCTCGCTTCTTCTCGCACAAACTTTATTCTCGAAAGGATACGTATAATACCTATCGGAACAAAGAAAGAGGGTAAAAAACAAAGTGAATCGATCATTACAGAAAGAACACGTGTGTGTCGACTGGTAAATTATCCATTCCTTTTCGCAAAAATATACGCTGTATAATGTTACAATAATACTAACCTTTAAAAACAATTTTTTTTGCTTAAAATTTAAATTAATATCTGGACGTTTATTTAAGATTTGTTAATTCAGTTGCACACTCAGGGAAATGTTTCGCTGTTTCAGCTAGGATTCTAAATATTACACTTAAATTATATCGCTGTTTTTTTGTATCTGCTAAAAAATTGTCTGTCATACGTAGAATTTATAGCAGCAATATTCTAAGAATATATACAAGAAAACATTGATCTCATAACTAAATATGATTGGAGTCTGGACTGATTAAATGTCATAGAAGAACCTTCTTGCTAAATTTAACAAATAGTTCAGATATAATTTCTGTCTCTGTTATCTATATTGATCAAACACAAAACATATATGATATCGCAGTGCTTACTAATCACTTATCCGTTTTAGCTAATTTTTCGTACCTAAATAATTCTCACTATATTGCAAGATTACTTTTTTCAGTGTATTTTCGCATCGAAGTAACAATCGCTGGCATATCGCACAATTAAAAGATCGAGACGTTATCTTGTTAATCTAGCAAATAACACGGACGTTCGAGGAACGATCACAAGGATCGGACTCTCGTCTCGAAAGGCGACATCGCGACGGCAAACGGGCTACGAAAACACGAAGATGACACGGCCGGGGAAACGGAAAAGGGTTGGCTGCGGCGTCCAGGTGGACAGGTTAAAGAGCGTCGGAGCGTGCGGTTCGCGAACCGGTTCGGATCGATGAGGTCCACAGGTGCCAGACCTAGTCTCATCCGCGCAAGCGCCCCTCTCGCACCCTCTCATGCTTTTGTCCTCCCTCCGCCGCACGCCGCCGCCCGGCGCCTTCCAACCCCCTCAGGCTCTCCTCCACCACAACTCTGTCGTTTTAACCCCTCTTCCTCCTCCCGTTCGCCCGACGTTTCTCCAGATCCGTCCTCTACGCCACCCTAGCTGTCGCCCTCCCTCCCTCCT